TAGAAGACAAATAGTTTTCAGGAAAACCACTTAACTGAAAGACTTGGATTTGAAAGCCAATTCAATCACTGATTTTATGTGATTGACCTCAAAGGTACTCCTTCAGCCTCTCTATCCTTCAGTTTCCTCTTCTGTAAAATGGAAATATCTACTCCAGCATTGTTATAAAGAAAAAAATAAAATGATGCATATAAAATATGACACACCTGACACTCAGAAATTATTAAATCACGTTTTATTAATTCTTGTCATATTTTCAAAGTCTTTGTATGCATCATTACTCATCTTTATATTTTAAAAGCTTCCAAATTACACTGGGAAATAAATCACCAATAACTGACAGTTGGTTATAATCCAAATTAACATCTTTAAATCTTAGGCCCTTTATGCTTACCATACAAATAGAAATATAAGCAAGCCAGAAGTATTCACCCTGCTGAGTTTATGCAAATCTGAAAAACAGAGACAATCCAGAAATAATTGAGCAAATCTGATTCCTTCTACTTTCATCATTCACAAAAGGGAAAAATGTTGCTCCCATCTTTTTCCCTCCTGAGTAAAGTGCAAATTTCCTCCTCAGTAAGGAAGTATGAGGAATGGAAAATACATAATGCCCCTCCTAAAGGAGGGCTTTAAGGTGCTGGTGCCAGGAGATGAACTGAAACACAGTTCAGTCACTACTAAGATATGATTCTTGCTCTCCAATTTGGACAAGATAATGCCACCTGTCACAGTGGCTCACAGTCTAAACAGATGAGAGTTAGGACCCATAAAAGATCCAGTGGGCAAATTCTGACAGATCCCCCTAAATGCTGCTAAGAAGTAAACACCATATTGCTGGGGGCAGAGGGAGATTAGGGATTGGGATCAGAGAGAGTGAACACAGGCACACCTTGCTGTATAGTGCTTGCTTCACTTTATTGAGCTTCACAGATGTTGCATTTTTTACAAATTGAAGGCAAGACCCACCACCTGCAAAAAGATTACGACTAGCTTTATTGTGGTGGTCTGGAAGTGAACCCACAATTATCTCCAAGGTATACCTGTATATAAAAGCACTGTTAAGTCTGTCAGCAGTTGTCAATACATCATTAATGATGACCTAAGACAGTAGCATAAATTAGACAACCTTTGGGTAATGCAAAATTGCCAAAACATTTACTCAAACACCTTTGTCTCCCACTCAGGAAAGCAGTCAGAATGATGTTAAAAAGGTAACCCAAGCCCTGGTTGGGTGGCTGGAGCATTTGCCAGAATACCAAAAGGTTGCAGGTTGGATCCCCAGTCTGGGCACATACCTAGCTGGTGGGGTCCATTCCTGGTTGGGAGCACGTATGGGAAGCAGCCCTCCTCCCTCTCTAAAATCAGTAAAACCTATCCTCGGCTGAGGATTTTTTTTTTTTAAAGCAACCCAAAGGCTGTTCAAAGTTTGTAACAGTTAAAACACGTTTGTCTGAAAACTCCACTTGAGGAAATCTGTACTGAAAGCCTCAGGTTTCAATTCATCCCATCAAAAAACACCTGCTACCTTTCAAGTCACCTGTACTGCAGAAGACCCAAAATTTCATCCCTGGAGTGCATTTCAGCAGATATTTAACCAAGAGAAAGTCACTGTCCTCCTAGGGAAAAGAATAATGCAGGGGGCAAATGAGCATGTCACTGATTTCCATGGGATTTCTTTTAGCTTGTCAACAGGAAGAGCCAGTCTTTCATTTAAAATAGGACCTCTGGGGATTATTGTCGTTCTAAAAACTCATGATGGTTGTATTAGGCTCTTGCATTTTTAGAGCTGTTTGTAAACTAGGTGATGGTTTGCTTTACAATTTAGTCTTCTCGGAAATCCCAGCTAAACTTTTTAATCCCAAAATTCTGAGAGCCAACCTCTCTCGAAAGATGAGTCCCATGGCTATCACTAAAAAGTGGGTTTAAATCCCAGATAGCAATCTTAGAATCAAAGCAGCTGTAACAGGTCAAACTCAAGGAGTCAGGTGGATCCAGGACCATAATAGCACCGACCTCACAAGGGGTTGATCAAATAAATTGTACTAGCAAAGCAAAACGCTGGGAACAAGGCCGGGCGCACAAGTACTCCGTAGACGTTAACTTTTAACCAGCACCGGGGAAGAGGGAATGTGCTCAGGCAGGCTTAGCGGAACAGCAGAGTCCCAGCTGGTGCGCAGACACAGCGCCCGAGAGCGGAGCAAAACTACTCTCCGGGCTGTGGGTGGCAGGCTCACAGGGAAGCGTCAACGCGTTGTCAGGCAACCGGGTCTCTAGGGCACCGCTTACTGCGGCGCTCGCTGCGGCCGGCCGGGTGAGTTCAGACCGCAGAACCAGGGCGAGACCCCCATTCACAAGGATCCCCAAGCCCGGGAGCCAGGCACTGGCCCCGGCCCTGCGGCGAGACCCCGAACCCATAACTCGACCACCGCCCCTAGCCTGGCAGCCTCGAGACCTACCCCTAGCAGCAGAGAATCCGGCCCACCAACCCTTGTAAACCCCACACCACCGCCAGGCTGGCAGCCGCGAGACCCCGGCTCCCCGGGAACCCCTGTGCCGGGACATCCCCTCCCGCCAAACCGCGCCAGGCCCGTTCCCAGCCCAAGGCCGGCTAATGCTTACTCCCGTGAGCCGGAATGCGTCCAGGGAGACGGACAGCCCTCTAACGAAACTCTTCCCAGTCTGAGGAGGCGGCGGTGACCGCCGTCCCGGGCTCCGCCTTTTAGACCAAGTCCTCCGCCCGCCTTTCGTCAACTGCCAAGCGCGGCACCGCCCCCACTGGGAGGAACTCGGAGGAAGGCCGTGCGGCTGGTGGCGACCCCTGCCGGCCCGGAGGCCACACAGCCACCTAGCGGTTCACGGAGCTGTTCCACACCCAGACTGGGTACTCTGCCGCTGGGTTCACCTGCTCCACCTGTGGGCTGTTACTCCGTGGGAGCTATTTCCCAGGCTAAATTGATTCCAGCCCTTTCGAACCCTGCAAGTCCTAGCTTTCCTGGAAACAGGTCACGGCCTGGAAATAAAAAAGGAGAGTGCTGGCAGTGTCAGAAAAGCTGTTGGCATACCTCTCCAGGGCATTAATTACTCTTCTCCCAGGAGTCTGGTCAACGTTTTGTCCTGGGCTTTTATTACCAATTTCAACATATCCAATTCACCCCTATTCTTGGTGCTACCACTAGAAGAGAGTCCTAGCTTCCATGGAAAGTAGAACTAGGAATCCTTTATCCTAAACGACTTTGTAAGAGAGTTTTAAAGACATTTTCTTTTCCAAGTCTATCAAAACCGTGGGTGAGAATTTGATCATTCTAATGTTTTCATTTTAACTGTATGCTACACGCTTTATTAGTGGAATATCCTGTACTCTAAAACTTACAGTAAGAAGAAAAACTTCGAAGTAAACAATATATTACAATGCAATATAAGTTACAGAGGCACCTACAGACACTTTGGAAGGCATGATTATGGAGACAGGAGGAAGAAAGATATAGTAAAGATCTCTGAGCTGTCTTTTTAATGATTGGTAGGAACTCCCAGGTAGAAAAGTCGCGGGGATGGGGGTGCCCTTTTGGCAATGCTAGCCAATACATGCAAAATTTCAAGGGTGACTTACAGAAGATGAAGCTACAGAGCTGCTATTCCCCCGCCGCCTTGTTTCCTTTTCTTCTGCCCCTGCTCCCAGCAAAAATATTTATTAAACATTTCGGTGTTTAAAATAAGGGATAAGACCATTTGTTTTATCCCTAGAACTGGGATTTAGAACTTAGAATCTAGTGCGGAGTGGGAGAGAGGAAACGAAGAAAGAATACGTAAAACAAGCAAAAACAAAAGTAAACATCGTATTGTTACTGGAGCTGTGTTCTGCCCACCGACACAGTAAAGGATTGCAGATCAACGAAACGAAATAGACGAGTAAAAGTTTTATTTAGGTTCTCAAGGGAGAGAAGGGGCCTGCCGATGATAGTAAAACGGAGACTCCTGCCTCTCAGGTCTGGAGACTTAAAAGTAAAGCAGTGAGTGTGAGCCAAGTTTTGTTTGGGAGTGCAGTCCCTAACTTGATTGACGGGTCCTGGGGTGGGGAGCGAGGAAACAGCAATGTAGATTCAGATTAATTATTATGTAAGTGTAGGTTATCTGAGGTCCTAGCAAAGGGCCGTCAGTGCGCATGCCTTAAGTGGGGAATTTTCCTGTGGCTCCTAGCTTCTTGCTGTTTCTTCTGCTAGACTATGATAAAGTCAGCAGTTAAGCCGCAAACTGAAGCTTCGACCACCCTGACCGCCCCACCTCTCCCTCTCGGCCGTTCATTTCCTGATGCCTAACATTTAACTGTTGGAAGAAAACAGGCTGTTGAGATTAATTCGGTCTCGAGGACAGGTGGTTTCCCGAAACAATGCTGAATATTAAACTTTAAAATACCATAGGAACTGGACACTGAACTTTTTCGGAACACTAGTAAGTCATACACATGTTCTCTGGCCTCGCCGAATAGCTGGAGAATGCGTGGTGCCAAACCAGCACAAACCCGTGGGATTCTAAGCATGAGCAGCGGTTCGTCAGTAAGTCAATGAAGATGCCACGTTATCTTTCAACCAGCATCCAGAGCTACTCACATGCCAGCTTTTCCGCATGCATTCCAATTTCTTAATCTTTCAGAAAACTTAATTCCTATAAGGTGCCTAAAAACCTCATGAAAAGAGTTTTTCCCCCTACTCCAGTTTAAGGATCTACCCATTTTAATATGGCGGAGACTGAGCCTGCGCAGTACGAACAAAAGAGGACAATTCCAAATTCTGGCAAAACAGTTAATATTCCCTTCTTCCGGTGCGGAAGGCTATACCATTCTCATATTTAATCATTTTTTGGTCACAATTCACACATGTTATTTTCCAAGCTAATAAGTCCTCCCCTACGCTACAAGAAGACTCCTCTGTCTCTATCTATTGTGTAAGTGCTGCTTATATGGTCGAGCCTCTGAACGGCCCCGCCATCCACGATGGTCTGCACCAACTTCACCTCCGGTTCCAGGTGTCATGGCTGCCTCGAGAGGCTAGTACGAATTTGCACCCGTGGTGCTGGGTCTGAAGCCCACACCCGGAAATTCAGCGAGGTAAAGTTGCATCTTGGTTGTGGAGGCGACAGCTTCTCGGTTTCCTGGAGATGGCGGCGTCCGGGAGTTGTATGGCCCAGAAAACCTGGGAATTGGCCAACAACATGCAGGAAGCCCAGAGCATCGATGAAATCTACAAATACGACAAGAAACAGCAGCAAGAAATCTTGGCGGCGAAGCCCTGGACTAAGGAGTGAGGAGGTCCCTGGCGAGATGCAGGGGAGGGAAGGGGTGGCGGGAGTTTAGGAGACCCAGAGGGAGTGGGAATTGAGTGGGGTGGAGACCTTGATTTTTCATGAACAGGGAGGAGAAAGAATATGCACTTGAAAAATTCTGATCTTTTATTCCCACGAGTAGAGCCTTAGCCCCACCACTGGGGCTTTCTTCGTCTCCCCTTTCTGTTTAACACCTTAGTCTCCGAAGGATGGAAGAGGAAAACGCCAAGCGGTGATTTGGGGTGATTTGTCCCTTCTCAACATCCGTATTTGTAATATATGCGACACACTGCCGTGAACTTTATGTCAATATACACCTTGTTGGGACCTTCACCTCATCCCAGACTGTGGAGACAGCAGCTGTCTTCAGAAATTGAGGCAGCCTAAGGGTCTCTATGAGCCATCTTCTAAAGATCTATAATCTTTTGATTGCTGGTCGTTATTTCAGAATACACGATGGTCTCCCCAGTTTCCCAAAATGTTACTCCACCAGTTCACATAAGCTAAAAGTCGTATCAGTAGAGCTTAATTAAGGCTTTTTGCCCCTTAGCAGAATCCCTGTAGGAGTGATGACAAGTTGAGAGCAGATTTTGTTAGGAAGAGAGTAAAAAGCAGTCTGTCTAATGGAGAGATAGAAAAGAGAACCATGGTCACCATACAAACACCATACTCCATCTGTCTCACAGTTTTTCGCAAGGAAAACTTAACAGTCAGTATTCAGATCCAGTAATGTTTACTGAATACCTAATATGGGCTGAGCACTGAGCTGGAAATTTCGATGTCATTTAATCTTTGTGACAACCCAGTACTGTATTTTCATTCTGTTGCAAATAAGAAAACAAGCAAATACAATAAGGAGCTTATTTCATAATCACAGAGGCAAAAAACTCCCAAGTGACCAATCATCAGGCCTGAGATCAAATCTTACTGTTGTCACTAAGTAGTTGATTGCCCCTATGTAATTTACTTATCCATCTTTATCTTTTTATTTGTGATGTGGAAATAAGACCAATGGGTGATGTCATGAAGATTAGATACAGTAACCTATAAAAAGGATGTACTAGATAAAGTAATATAAAAAAGGATGTCTAGAATGTATGTAATAAGAGCATAATAACTGTTTTTTCCTTTTCCCCAATAAATGGAGTAGCCAAGATTTTAATTTCAAAATTAAATCTTGCATCCCAAAAGCAACTCTCTATGTCTTCAATTTATAATTGAAACCTGTGGACAGACATCTTAAAAAGTCTTCTCAGAGACATTGACTGACCACTCTATACAGACTGGTTAGTTTGGCTGGTTGTCTGCTTTCTTCTACATCAGGCTATGCATTTTAGGTTGAATCAGCCAATTAGATATTTGGAAGCTGTCATCTTGCCTCACTGTGTGATTGTAGCTCTACTTATACTCATCTTAGCTGTCTTAGGCTATATCAGTGAGATGGAAAATGTAATTTTATTCAAGAGTAGTTTACTCACATCCACAGATTACAAACTAAAAGAATGATTATAGTAGAACTAAAGATATTAGGGCTAAATTTTTAATTTTGGCCGATATCACAGAAGTTGAGTATGTGTCAGGCACTAAGCTAAGTACTTTATATATTCATTTAGTTTATTTCCTCCTAACAACTCTGTGAAATATCCTCTTTTCAGACTGGGGCACAGATATTAAGTGGTTATTTCAAGGCCACAGCTAGGACCTGGCAGTACAATGATTCAAACCTTGGCAGATAGGTGTCAGAACACACATTCTTAACCATGAGGCCAGAGGTTAGGACTGAGAATAGTTGGGCACAACCGTACAACCAGAATCACAATCAGAGTTGGCAATTCCAAAATTAAGGAGAAAAAGTCTTTGAACTGGTCATGTACTTACCTCTTTTCTACTTAAGTAATATATTCTAAAAAACTATTTCATACTCTTCTCTTCCCCCAAGGGGAAATATTTGGCAGGACTCTGACATGTTTATCATTTCCATAGCCCTGCAGAAACTCTGTCCTTCTCTACTTCTTTTTTCTTTCCCACATTCTACACTTTTTCTTCCTTCCACCATTATAAATGCCTTCAATATTCAGTATCTTCACACACACTCTTTTGAAATTGTACTTTATATAAGAAAGTTAGTTACATTATGCTTTTGTTTTGTAGTCACCATTACTTTAAGTACTGCAAAATCTCAGCATTGGCTCTGCTGAAAATGGTGATGCACGCCAGATCAGGAGGCAACTTGGAAGTGATGGGCTTGATGCTGGGAAAGGTGGATGGTGAAACCATGATCATTATGGACAGTTTTGCTTTGCCTGTAGAGGGCACTGAAACCCGAGTAAATGCTCAGGCTGCTGCATATGAGTACATGGCTGCATACATAGAAAACGCCAAACAGGTAAAAATGTTGTTTCTTAAAGTTTAGTTACTGCAAGTAAAAGTCTCATGGTGACTTTTGACTTTCTAAACTTAAAGCTATCCTCTTTACATTAAGTTTATGTTTTAAGTTATTTTCAATAATTCTATATAAAATGTATATGATATTAGCGTAAATTTTAAAAAATAAATCCTCACACTTGCCCTACCTGGTATAGCTCAGTGGATTGAGGGTGGGCCTGCGAACCAAACAACCGCAGTTTGATTCCCAGTCAGGGCACATGCCTGGGTTACAGGACAGTTCCCTGCAGGGGGCACACGAGAGGCAACCATACATTGATGTTTCTCTCCCTCTCTCTTTCCCTTCCCCTCTAAAGATAATAAATAAAATCTTAAAAAATAATAATAAAAAAATTAAATCCTCACACTTGAGAGAGTAGATCTTAAAAGTTCTTATCACAAGAAATAAATTATAACTGTGGTGATAGATGTTAATTGACATTTATTGTGATCAATTCCCAATTTATACATATCAAATCATTACATTGTATACCTGAACTAATATAGTGTTATATGTCAATTATATCTCAAAAATTTTTTTAAATTCTCACACTCATTATCAGATGTGTGTTTAAAACCCAAAACTTTAGAAGTAACCTAAAGTTACTGAGTATAAAATTGATTCACTAAATTATGGTATAGCCATATAATCAGCTGCCAACCAGTAGTTATACATAATATGAAACAAACCCCAGAATATTTTCAGTGGAGAAGCAAAGTGTAGAATACTATATGTGGTATGCCATCATGTTTGTTTTTATTAATCTACATATGTGCAAAGAATATCTCGACAATAGCTATATAATAGCTGGGTATAATGGTAACATCTGGGCTGAGAAACTGGATAATTGGGGGGAAGAGGTAGGAAGGAGACTAAATAACCTTTATATCTTATTAATTTTGTGCTTTGGGCATGTGTTACTATTCGAAACATCTTTTTTTACTTGAAAGCACCATGTTCTATGAACTGTTCTCATACTATTATTTTACTATAAAGCTGTATAAACAGATCATAAGTGTTTCTAAGATTAAACAAGAACCTCAAGCTCCCTTGCCCTCTTCATTTGTTAGGTTGGCCGCCTTGAAAATGCAATTGGCTGGTATCATAGCCACCCTGGCTATGGCTGCTGGCTTTCTGGGATTGATGTTAGTACTCAGATGCTCAATCAGCAGTTTCAGGAACCATTTGTAGCAGTGGTGGTAAGTATTTTTACAACCAGTTGTAATTAAATTCTTTATAAAGATTACTAAAACAGGTGTTCATTGAAAAATAAAACAAGTGTGGTAAGAACAAGGCTCTGTTGTCAGTCTGCCTAGATTTGATCTGAATTCCACCTCTTAGAAATTGAGACTTTGGAACAAATTACTGAACCTCTTGGTGTCTCTTCCTCCACCCTGTAAGGTGAAGGTGACCCTGGCACCTGTGTCTCAGTTCCCTGCACACAGTAGGCATTGAGTCACTGTTGAATGGATTGAGTAAATCAGGAATTGCTAGAGCAGCTCTTGCTATGTTCAGTGTTCTAAATGCAATCCAGGCTACTATGAGGAAGGTAGAAAGTGTTCAGCTATTAAAAGAAAAAAAAAATTTGGAAAAGAGGAGTGAATGTTCTAATAGTATTCTAAAATAGTGTAATAACTAGATCTAATCTCTAAAGTAACTGTGAGACATTTCTATACTTAGCACTTCATTGAACTTTTACAGGTTTTTAGTTTGGTTCTTTATTCCTATTTGGTTATTTTAATTATTGTGTGATCTCTATCATCTTATATGTACACATATATTTCTAGATTTATAATGTTCAAACAAATGGAAGTATATAAAGATTTTATCATCAGCAGATACTAAATATATTTTATTGTAGATTGACCCAACAAGAACAATATCTGCAGGGAAAGTGAATCTTGGAGCCTTTAGGACATACCCAAAGGTAATTTTTGAAATTATAAGTCCCTATAACTTTTTAAGTTCCAAATATTTGACTTATTTTTTAAAGATGTGTTATGGTTAGTTCTTGTTTTCTCCTAAAACAATTTAATAATATTTTTAAAATAGCAGGCAGATTGTCTTTAGCACTAGTTGTTCTTAGCAGAAAACAGTACATTTGTGTTTCTATAGTTAATTTTATTGGAAAAGCAGTCTCCATTTGTTAAAAGGATGTGTGTGTCCATGGTATTCTAACAGGTACTAGAGAAACAAGCTACGTATATCTATTTCCTTCCCCACTTAAAGTGGTTATTAGCACAAGTGTGCCTCACCAAAGGACAAGAAAAGTCATTATAGGGCAAATCCAGTTTTCCTTCCCACCTGGAGTTGACAGACGATATAAACAATATACATTGTAGAATGTTTAGGTTCAATATTTGGCTCCCCAAAATTAATGTTTCTATAAATATAAAGCTACGTGTAAAACATTGTTTTTCCTTTGATTTACTTTGCTTAATTTTCTATTTTCTTCATTTTTGTTTAGGGCTACAAACCTCCTGATGAAGGACCTTCTGAGTACCAGACTATCCCACTTAATAAAATAGAAGACTTTGGTGTACACTGCAAACAGTAAGTAATTTAAAAACATATCTGCCCTGGCTGGTGTAGCTCAGTGGATTGAGCATGGGCCTGTGAACCAAGGGGTTGCTGGTTGATTCCCAGTCAGGGCACATGCCTGGGTTGCAGGGCAGGTCGCCAGTGGGGGGCTCTTGAGAAGCAAGCACACATTGATGTTTCTCTCCATCTCTTTCTCCTTTCCTTCCCCTCTCTCTAAAAATAAATAAATAAAATCTTATTGAAAAAATGTATCTGATGCCAGAGTCATAAGAAACCCAAGATATACAGACCAAGCCCCTTACAGATGAGAATAAAAGGTTCGGCCAAATTCCTTTCATAATGCTTTTTGAAATAGTAGTAACAATGTACAAATTTAGAATAATGTTTGTATTTTTATTAATAATTGTTTTAATCTAATGTAATTTTCTTTCCCACAATCATAAATATTTTATCAATATACAAGATATATGGTCCAATATACAAGAAATTAACAGTTGAAAAAAATTGTATTCAGGACCAGCCTAACACTAGTCTATCTGCAACCTAAAAGTACCCAGGTTTCACTAAGCAAAAATTCTTAACATTTTCACTCCAAAAGTTAAAGAAACCATACTGAAAACCTCTGAATTACATACTTCTTTAACATAGTGAATCTTACGAATCTTACAGTATGTGAGTTACATCTCAGTTTTTAAAGTGTTAAAGAAACCAATGAGGACAGTTTTCTCCACCTTCTAAATGTATCTTGCCACCTTTCATTATCGTCTTGTCCCAAGCCATCTGAAGCCTGAACCACAGTGCCGGCCTTCTAACTAGTGTTCCTGCTTCTGCCCTTCATCCCTTTAGGTCTTTTGTCCACCAAGTTGATTCTTTTAAAGCTCACCCTATCTAAAATAGCATCTTCCTGTCATTCTGTGTTCCTTTTCCGTCTTTATTTTTCTTAGCACTTGACACCAACTGATAGGTTTTTTACTTCCTTGTTGTCAACTCCATTAGAAAGTGAACTTCATGAAAGTAGAATTGATTTTCTGCTGTATCCTAACATTTAAAGTAGATCATGGCACATAGAAGGATTAGCACCCCCCAAAAATGTTGCTTGAATGTTTATCTAGTGTCTCCTTTCCTCCATACCTCCTATCCCAACTTCAGGGAATACCTGGACTACTTATGTGCTACTACCACTCTTATTTTTCTGTTTAGAAATTCTTATTCAGGAACTACTGTAAAGGATCATGGACAAAACCAAGGGGGAGGGTGGAAGCAAGGGAGGGAGGTGGGTTTGGCTGGGGTGGGAGGAGTGGTGGGGGAAAATGCAGACAACTGTAATTGAACAATAAAGTAATTCTTTAAAAATCCTTAGAAAATTTCAGAATTTCTAAATTTGAGTTTTTAAATGTATGTGGTTTTCAGTCATCCTTAAGATATGTCTGAAGAAAAAAATCTGTTTTATTTTTCAGTTAAAGATTTAGGATTAAATCACTTAATTTACCCTATTGAGAAGAATTTAAGACATTCCCATGTGAGAGAATGGCTCCTGGGCACCTTTGCTGTGATAATTACATTTTCAGAATAACCAAGTCAGTTTTTTCTTTTATTTATACTGAGTTGCAGTCGTCAAAAGCTTATACTTTTAACACCTACTCTACTTTTCTTGGCACCACCAGCCGCTTTTGAAACAAAAAAGACAGCAGCAGGCTATGCTTTCTGTGTCCAAACAAGACAACAAACATTTCCTGTTTTACTGAAATAGGAGCCGACCAGAGAGGAGTGGCCACTTTCCAGCTACCTACATTGCTAATAGCATAGCAGTTTGAATCCAGAATTGCTTGCATATTCAAAGATGTACTCTTACTTACCCTTTTTCACAAGACAAATAAGTGTCTTAATTTATTTTTATTTCAAATCTGTAATGATTTGAAATACCGCCAAGTTGAAAGAGCAGGGTTCTGTGCAGGTTGAATATAGGGCCATTTCATAAAGTATCTGCTGATGAGCTACTATTTGTATTTATATTGACCATTCTTTTCTCTTTTCAACCTTAAGTGCCAGAACATAATGCACTCAAAGTCTGTTTTAAACATAGAATCTAATATACATATTAATATTTTAACTTTGAAGAATCTTAGTGAAAATAAGAGTTTCTTTTATCTTGCATGTTACCAGTGTTTTACAAGCATATAGTTTAAAAAGTAAAATGGTTCCAGGAAACTTACTATAAAGAACAAGTCTTATACTCTTTCCTTTCCCATCCCCCAGACACAGTCACTTAAACTGTTACAGTTACTGTTACAGTTACTGTTACTACTTCAAGCATTTACTCGAATACCTTCAAACAGCATGCTGATAGTGCTGCTTTTTGATTTTCAGTTCTAGGCAGGATCTGTTACTGACTTATACAGAAGGTGAAGGTTAGCTCCATAAGTTGTTTCGAATGTTCTTGTTTTCAACTCTGCTACTCAAAAAAAAAAAAAATCGTATCAACCTGTGGGATTTAAACAGAAATTACATTAAGGTGATCCACATATTTTAAAACATAAAAGTATATTTAGAGCCTCAAGTTTGAGTGCCCTTATTTCCCACCCTTTATAAATCTAAATATCTGTTGTACTCACCCTCTAATCCAGCAATTTTCAACAGGTGTGCCGCAAGAATTTTTAAAACATGCAGTACCTGCCTATTTTAGTCAAAGGCACTGACCTTTTGTCCCTTAGATTGTCAAGTAAAAAATGACAACAGCCAACACAACAATAGCTATTGAATGAATCAAAATTATATCTATTTTTCTGTCAGATTGGCAAAAAATACATTTTTTGATGTACCGTAGAATTTTAATAACTACTTTATGTGTGCCATGAGATGAAGAGGTTGGGAATTGCTGCTCTGGTCTCTTTTTCATCTGGGATCAGAAGTGCCACTCCCCTTTCCACACCTGACCCTCACTCCTAGGGCCTCGCTGCCTAAATACTCTCATAAATGTCTACACGCTGGATATAAAATTAAAAACCAGGAGGTTTTTAGTAATAAATACAACTTTTCATATCCTTTCTCTGCCACTTACTTGCTATGTAGCTTTAAGCAAGGTCTTTACTCTCAATCTGTTTCCTTGTCTGTAGAATGGGAAAAAACTGATTGGAAGGAAGATAAATGAGAATGCATGGAAAGCACCCAGTACATAGTAGGTGCTGAAGAAAAATGCTGTTCCCCTTCTGCATTTCACTAGCTGTGTCTTTTCCATCTTCAGATATGCACAGGAATCTTAATTGTGAAAATGCCTTCACTTTATTCTGATGTCTTTAAATTCTCAGTCTTTTTTATTCATCCTAAACTTAACCAACAAGCATTTTTGTTCTGTTCGTGTGTTACGGTCTTTTGTACCACTCGCTTGAGCCTGATCCTTTACCCCTTCACTCCTGCCCTACTGCGTGGCATCCTTTGTGGTATCCATGCCCCCAGTTTCTCTCCTCTACACATCCTGCTACAGCCAGCTTTCTAAAGCCCTCTTTGGCCATGTCACTGCTTTGCTCAAACACCTTCCATGAGTCCCAAATACCTAAAAAATAAAGGTTAAACTTCTTAGCCTTTTATGTAATATCCTGTACCAGCTAGACCCCAACAGTTTTCTGGGTTTTCCTCACATAATTCTGCTCTCGCTGAATTGTCCATGGCTATCCTTTTTGTGAGCTGATGTTCTCTGCCTGATCCCCTCCTTGCTCTCAAGATCCCAGCACCATGGACTCTTGTAGGGGTCACTCTAATCCTGCTTTCTCCCTGAGGATTCTCAGGCAGTCTGTCAACTGTAAAAGTACTCATTATCTCTAACAGTTAGTTCGAAGGTGATTGATTTTATATATTCACTGTACTAGCATCATTTACTGTCATTCAGTATATGTTATCTAACTTTTTGTGGATTCATATCACATCTTCTGTATAAGTGGTAAGCTTGTTAAGATAAAGAAGTCCCTTGTGTTTCCATGTATCCATTGATGTACAGAACCTAGACATTTTAAAATATTTATTACTTGAAAAAATTATGTCTTTCAGACATTTAAGCAAAATTTCCTTGCTATAACTGATTATAAGTTAGGTACCTTTGGAAGTAATAATAATTCTTTTAGGTGCTTTAAGGACCTACTTTATACTTTACTTTTCCAAAAAGCAGTAGCTCCTAATTGGGGGATTAGAGTGGGGAGAACAGGACATCCATCCAACATGTCATGTTCAGTATTTTTAAAAGCCTAACAAAAACACTTGACCCTAGGCAGGCAGTTCATGGAGCTTATGTGCTATTGTCTAAAACTAATAAATAATATCATGTGTCATTCAGTGTCATTCAGAAATTCAGATTGTTGTTGATGACTTCTTGGGAATTTCTAGGTGCTACAGAGGGAAAAAATACAACACAAGAAAGTGTAGCAAGCAGAAGATTTTTGAGACCATGACCCTGAAGAGTAAAGAAACAATGGTTACCTGTTGTTTTCTTGGACTAAAAACTTAAATTTGGGTATAACTTTTATATGATGTGGTTGAATATTTTCTATTTACTTAATTTGTGCTTTTTCATAGATACTATGCCTTAGAAGTCTCATATTTCAAATCCTCTTTGGATCGCAAATTGCTTGAGCTTTTATGGAATAAATACTGGGTGAATACGCTGAGCTCCTCTAGCTTGCTTACTGTAAGTATTCTGCTTCCAAGGAATGTGCTACATAAAATGTTATTAACTTAAACTCTTTTTCGTGGAATGACTATACCTGACTTGACCAACACATCAGGGCTGGAGTCGGATTCTGCATGACCAGAGCTTGATTAGGATAACAGTCCAAGCAGAGGTCTGCATCATGTGCTGTTGAGACCAAGTCTAAATGGCAAACAGTGCCCCAATGAGGGTGATATCTGCTCCTGCCTCAGAGAAACAGAGAGAAAATACAAGTACTGTTTTTTGTTGTGCTAGGTATTTCAGGTAGGACTGTAGTTACAAGTAACAGGAGACCCAACCAGACTGACTTAAAGAGAATCATTTAAGCTGCAGAGTTCAGGAGTAAGGCTTATTAGTTTAGCCTCAACTAAGTTTGCATTCAAACAATATTATGAGGTCTTGATCCTTCTCTCACAGCTTAGATTTTATGTCATTTAGCTTTAGTTCCAGGTTTCATGTGAAGGGAAGATGGCAATTAGCTTCAGACCTCATAGCCTCTCAGTGTCACATTCAAAGGGGAAGATCAAGATACAGCCTTCCATTTCTGTCTTTCTGCCTCTGTCCCTCTCTTCCCAAGGTGAAGCCTTATTATGTCTGAGCTTTGCTTAAGTCACATGCCCATGCTTACACCTGAAAGGTAGAAGAAACCGTTTCAGGAGTACATGGACAAGGGATGGGGAATCAGAATAGCATTACCTTAAAGTAGCAGATGCCAGGCCAAAAAGAAAAAAAGTTACTAAAACCTGATATAATGAGAAGGATATTTATGTAACAAACTTCTATGTATTCTGTCTAGAGTTTAGGCAGGAATATAGTATTTATGATGGTTGGTTGGTATTTTGTTTTAACTTTTTTAAAAAGTAGGCCACTTCATAACAGTACAGTGTAGGATAGTGGTTAGAACCACAAAATTTGGAATAAAATTAACTCAGTTCAAACAACTGTGCCACTTTACTGGCTGTGTGTGACCTTCAGAAAATTATTTAATGTGACTGAGCCTTTCTTGGGCTCTATGATAGTACTACCTCCATTATTAAGTACATTGAGAATCAATGAAATACTTTATATAAAGCAGTTAGCAAAGTGCCTGGCATATAATAAAGCCTCAATAAATTTTGTTGTTGTTGTTGTTGTTTGGTTCATTGTATTAAGGGGGAAAGACCTCACTTGGACATATTTACTGTTACTTTAAACACAATTCTGAGAAGTTTTCTGTTCTTATTTTGAATCCTCAACAGTCAGAAGTAGCAAATGAGAAGGAAGGAGAATGATCATAACAGCAAACATTTATTAAGAGTTTCCTATTCTCCAGACACTGCTAAATGCTTTATATGTGTTGTTTCCTTAGAGCAAGTGCACTCATAGCAGCCAGAAGTGACACATGATGGCAAGGGGAGAAAACACTAAGACCAGAGCAGCCTGAACCTTTTTGTAAAGGCAAACCTACCTACTCAGCCTATGGCTGTCCCTGTATTCCAGCACTGCATATATTGAGGACATTAATAACCAAGAAAAGGTTAAATTATATTTCTTCCTTTCTTACAGTTTTATATATAGTTCATTACAGCATTTTAAGTAAAAAATACATAAATATATATTCAACTCATCTCCTTTCCCAGCTAAAGCATTTAACCTAAAAGCTACCAGGGAAAAAAGTAATTTTCTGATTTAAAAAATTAGTTCCCTATATGTATTCTCTGTCTGAAATATAATTGATGTCATTTTATTGCATTTTAACAGTATAACTTTTTCTGCCATCCTACATTTTCATGGCATGAACTAAATCTTCCAAATGTGAAGTGGTCTAGAAACCCTTATAAACCTTAGGGTTTTCTCATAACCATGTGTGTATTGAGGGGGGGAGGCGGAGGGGCAGTTGGTGGTGGTGTTGGTGCCCTAAGCCATTTAGATCCAAAGTGAATATAATTGCATGTTTAAAAAATACAAGTTTGTAAAATCATTGAGGAGCTAGTAGCATTTTCTTTTCTTTCTCTTTTTCTTTTCTTTTTTTTTGCCTTGTTTTGAAACCAGCCCACATGCTATAGAGCAGACTACAAGTACTGTGAGGCCAGCTTCAGTATTACTTTTCCTCCTTTTAAGCAACCAGCAAGCATGGTGTTCAGATCCAATGGGAGAGAGAACCGGAGGTTGAGCTGGTAGTATTTTAAAGGGCTCTCTGTAGTAACTGTGATGACAGCAAATAACTTCTCATGTTTAGTGATTGAACTGTATTTCTTGTACACTGTCCTATACACTGAGCAAATAGAATAACACATTGTTGCCAAGTTGTTTGTTAAATCTTCATGCTTCTCTCTTAAAGATATAGGAAAGAAGTGGAATATATACTTCACAACTGATCTTTATGAAAATTTGCTTTGTATTTCAAACACATTCTCAAAAAGATGTCCCACAGAAATCTTTTTAAAAACATTACAATTACATGTATATTATAAAAGTTTTTATTTTTGAAAAGTAAGAAATGTTGAAGAACAAAATGATATACATAGGGGTAGGCAAAAATAGGTTTACAGTTTTGAGAATACAAAACACAAGGTTTATTTGCTGTTGTAATAATCATAACCTGCTGTCTTCCATACATACAACTGTAAACCTACTTTTGCTCCTGCTTTTCCCTGCTCTGTGTGTATTCCAACTTACCAAATGTAGGTATGCATGTGAGCATATAGTGTTACTCTAAAATAGAACTGGTTTTAGCTAGGTGGAGGGATTGTATGAGTTTCTTTTCTCCTTTATATTACTCTGTTTTTCAGATATTCTGCAGTAGCATTTTATAATCAGAACACCTAAAACAGTTATTTTTTAAATATGTCATAAGTGCTGATTCTGGAAGTTCAACAAGAGCAGATAACAAAATTTCATTTTCCATCTATAGGATATATTGCATAAGAGATATTAAATGAATATTCTTGTTTATATAAATGAGTTATTCCAAATAAAAGTAAAATGTAATTAAATTTTTTAAAAAAGAACAAATAACAAAACTAGCTAATGTTAAGGTTTTGCCAGGTGCCATGAACAGTCCTAAGAGCTTTATATTTGTTACTTAATTTGATCTTCACAATAGCCTTAGGGTAGAAATTATCACCTTTATCCTCCATTTTCAAAAGAGGACTTAAAAAGATACTCTCTCAAGGCCTCCCAACTAATCTGTAGCAGAACCAGAACCTGGGCTCAGATCTGTGAAAGTTTCTCATTATAATAAATATTGGATTCAGCAAAGGAAAAATTTCAAATCTAATCTTAAAATTATAAAAGAATGAAAAACTATTTAGTTACACTGCTTGAACTTTGGAGTCAGTTTTTGCAAATTTCATTTGACTTTTTAATTCACTCACTGTTCACTTAGACTTCATGGTGGAATTCTTTATAAATGACATATTCTATATTGAAGAAAACTAATTTACATTAAAAATGTCTAATGGTAGGCTAGTATTGTATACTGACACAATAACATTTTCTCTACAGAATGCAGACTATACCACTGGCCAGGTCTTTGATTTGTCTGAAAAATTAGAACAGTCAGAAGCCCAGTTGGGACGAGGGAGTTTCATGTTGGGTTTAGAAACACACGACAGAAAGTCAGAAGACAAACTTGCCAAAGCTACGCGAGACAGGTAAGAGCAAATCTATTCCTGCCCCTCTTTTTTGTTTCAATATTTGCAAATAATAGCCCTGACTGATGTGGCAGTGAGTTGGACATCATCCACAAACTGAAAGGTCTCAGATTTGATTCCAGTCAGGGCATATGCCTGGGTTGCAGGACAGGTCCCCAGTTGGGGGGCATGTGGGAGGAAACCAATGGATGTTTTTCTCATTCATCGATGTTTCTCTCCTTCCCTTCCCCTCTCTCTAAAATTAAATAAATAAAATCTTTTTTTTAATTTGCAAATAATAATAGGATTCGAAAGTTTAACTTTCTTATAACTTAGAATGATACCTGAGTATTAACTTCTTGGGACCTTTAAGAGTTGTCAAGGGCTGATTTTACCTTTGACAATTTAGTAGACATTAGATAACTAGGCTTAAAGTCTAGTTAATGTTATGAAAAACTCTCAGTCATCTTTTCTAGGTTCAGCTAGAAAGTGTAACAAATGAAACCAGTCAGTCACTGAATTTTTTTATTTTTTAAAGCTTCTGCAAAGGGATGTCCTAATCCATTCTACTGTAATCATTTTTGGAGGGATTAAAGTGGGATTTCTAAAATTTATAAAATTTTCGATTTTTTTAAAGTTTAAATCCCTAAATAGTACAGGAATGATTGTATCTCCCTTGTTATTCTTCTGATATGACTTTTTATTTATTATCTCAAATTTCACTAACAAGATTTGTTAGGAACAAACTTTGGATATGTTCTCTGATAACTTAGGATATAATTATGTGGCCCTTCAGATACATTCAGGGTTGGGAAGACTAACTAAATAACATTTACTTTCACAAAAATTTGAATTTTAATGTGATAATTAGGGACAGAGAGGAAGGGGAAAGTATGTTATAAACCTGAAACCTTGGTATGTATTTTAAGAAAAACTGAACTGGTGGGTGGGATGGATAAAGGAGAAGGGAAGACAAAGTGTGTTAGAAGCAGAAGCCCTCTTGAGTTAGAATTACCTCATTACTTTGTTCTCCAGGGGTTTTTGGAAAGTATAGATAGAGCTAGAAACCTGGATGCAAATTACATTTTCCTTTGACATTAGGTCTCAATTTTGGTGCTTGCTCTAATGTGTATTTTTCCTCATTCATCTCTATAAGTCTGGGATTTGTAATTTTATCTACATTTATACTTCAATTTCTTTTGAAGCAAAAATTTCACTGTGGGAAAGCCTCCAATTACATAAGTAGAAAAGTAGGAAGAACAAAAGTAGTAGTTTAAAAGTAAAGAATTTTCCTTTTGGGGGTAACTTTATAAGAATCGTATCTTTTTCTGAATATTGGTGGATTCTTAGCATTTTGGGGAGTTGCTTTTTATTTTTTATCAATTCTAAAATGTAAGTCCAGTCCTGGCTGGTGTGGCTTAGTGGATTGAGTGCTGGCCTGCAAACCAAAGGGTTGCTGGTTCAATTCCCAGTCAGGGCACATGCCTGGGTTGCAGGCCAGGTCCCCAGTGGGGGCCACATGAGAGGCAACCACACATTGATGTTTCTCTAACTCTCTTTCTCCTTCCCTTCCCCTCTCTCTAAAAATAAATAAAACCTTCTTTAAAAATAAAATAAAATGTAAGTCCACCCATTAACCTAACTTTGACTTCTAATTATTTGAAGGACGTTTGTGATTATTTTAGGGAAAAAAACAGGATTTTTTTAAATCGTTTTAAAAATTATTCAAAGTAATAAACAATAAAGACAGGAATAACAGATTTTAATGTAATACTGGAATCAATATCATTATGAATTATGTGTAATTTAGTGACCTTGTAGAACAGAACTTTTCCCAAAGCAGCTGATAAGTAACAAAATTAACTTAGGCATTATATCAAATTTTACTTTATTCCTTGTAAAGATGCTCTTAAGTAGTGAAATGGTGAAAAGATATTCAGGAGACTAAAAATAATGAGGGTAAACTGTAAATTGATATGGTTTGGGGAGTATGGATAGAACTGAAAATCATCATTGGGAGTGCAAGAATGGAAATAGAGGAGACTTGTGTATTTGAAATAGTTTTCAGGTCTTATGACATTATGTGATATGTGGTTTTTTTTTTCCAGCTGTAAAACTACCATAGAAGCTATCCATGGATTGATGTCTCAGGTTATTAAGGATAAACTGTTTAATCAAATTAACATCTCTTAAACAATCCCTAAGTAGTACTTTTGCCTGGAAGCCAGTATGAAAGAAATACTCAAGTAACACTTTAAAACCAGTTACCAAAAATCTGATTAGAAGTATAAGGTGCTCTGAAGTGTGCTGAACATATTAACATCCTGTAATAAAAGTCTTTGAAATCAAATTGTTCTTTCTTTTTTTTTGAGGGAGGGGTTACATTATTTTTCCTAATGTCCTTTAGTGTTCTCGAATTAAGGAAAAGAAACTAGAACCTTTTTATTTTTTAAAGAATCCTGCCTTTCTAAATTAGTCAAGGAATTTCAGCATCTCACTTGCCCTACTGATTATCAGAGCCCCTTTTCAATTTGCCTGTACATTAAATCCTCACTGAAGGTCTTTTGGAACTGCAGCAAAACCAGTTTTACCTAGGATAAATGATATAAGCAAGAGTTCAGTTCTTAGGACATCTCAACAACATTAATGAAATGATGTTGAATTAAAGTGTTATTTGAGGACCTCCTTTTGATAGACCGTTAGTAAAAATATGTAATTTAACATGGTATTTTTGTCTTCTTAGGAAACATTAACCAAGTAACACCATAAATTATTTTCCTGAAAATCGAATAACTCATTTCAGACAGAGCCCACCCAGCACAGGATATCTAGTCATTCAAATATATTCACGAAATGCCATTATTGAACTAGGCCCAGTTGTACTTTCTGGAGATGTTTGGAACAAGATAGACAGGACCACTGTACTCACAGAACTAAGTAAACAAAAACAAAAGTGTATTGCTATGAAAGAGAAATAAACTGTGCAGGGGAACTCTTGGGAAAAACAATTACCCAGTTATGTCTCCTGAAGGAAGTGCCAGACATTAGGCTGAACGTTGAAACGTAGGAAGACTAGCTAGAAAAAGCATAATGGGGAGACGATTACTTCTACAGGCCAAGAGTACAGCAATGTGTGGAAGGCCAGAGGTAGAGAACAAGAACTTCAGAACCTTCAGGAGCTAGATTCAGTTAGACTTGAGTGTTGAGTAGAATGTGGAGAATGGCAAGAGGTGACTGATAAGATGAGGGTAGATCCTGCTTGTACTTTTCAGACTATCTTAACAGCAGTGGGGAGTTAACAAGTCTTAAACAGCAGAAATGTGCTAGATTAATGTTTCTAAGTGCACTCTTAAGAGATGTGGGGGTGAGGGCTGGGTGAAAGCAGATGAAAGCTGACTTTGTCAGCCTATGGCAAACAAAGAGTAAGAAGAGGACCCAAGATGAATCAAGAAAACAATAAATTTTAAAATGGCAGAGGAAGAGATCACAGAAGCAGAAGAGTAAAGTTTTCAGAAGTATTTAACCAGTGACTTCAAATGCTGCCAAGAAGTCAAGAAAAGCAAAAAAAAAGCCTAAAAGTTTTCCATTAGATACAGCAATGAGGTGGTCTTTGGCAAGATGAGGAAGTCAATTAATTACCTTTAGTATCCAAAACCTTTCTTGGACAGATGATATAATAGCACCTTAGTCTCATTTTATATCCCTTTAAATAAAAGCAAGCACCCCAGTTTCAAATGGCTCAACCTGGCCTCCATTTCTGTGCCCTGCCCTCGAAAAATGACTCCTCCCAACAAACAACCAAAATGTGTATTTACTGCCATAGCCTTCAGCAACACCAACACCATGCTGAGTCATTGAGTTAGGAACACTCACAGGCTTGTTTAGCTTTCCCTGACACAGACATGATTGAAGGTTTGACATGAAAGAGTAAGGACTAATTAAAGCCACCATGAAAACATATTGGCAGTTTTCATCCCAAGAATACAATTATCCACAATTTAACATAAGTGACCTAATCGATGAAGACATCTTAGTGTGGCCCTGGCCGGGCAGTTCAGTTGATTAGAGCTTCATCCCCATGTGACAAGGTTGTGGGTTCAATCCCTGCTGAGGGCACATACAAGTAAGTGTCAAACAATGAATGCATAAATAAGTGGAACAACAAATCCATGTTTCTCTTCCCCCCACTTCAAATCTCTCTAAAAATCTATTTTTAAAAAAAGACATGTTGGTGTGATGAAAAATGCCCATTATAACAAAAGTAACAACCAGTTGCTTACACAATAAGAATTTGCTGGCTCACCTAACTGGAGTCCAGAATCAAATCTGGCTTAGTCGAAGTTGGGTTAGGCTTGCTAGTATGGTTCCCAGCTTTGCCCTCCACTTGTTGACCTAAACCTAAAGCTGATCCTGCTGAACCAGCTGCATGCCACACCAGGCAGTTAGGGGGAAATAGCAGCTCAAGATTATCAAACTAAGTTTCCCACTTAACTCTGGTCTAACGTGAGTTGAGAGCCCATCCCTAGGGTTATACATATTGATTGCTTTAGACCAATGAAGGGTTATCCCGGAGTTGAGAGTGGGGTCATTAATACCCAAAATGCATAACTACTACACACTGAGAGGTTAAATGGATATTGGAGAAATCAACGTCCCATCTACTCATTGGCCCACCAAGGCAGAAAGGAGCATTTGTATTTTATTGTTAATGTAGATACTTTACTAAAGAGCAAGATCGTTTACAAATATTTTTAAAGCATATCTTTAAATTTTAAGGAACTGTCATGATCACTTCAGGTATAAGTGCTCCAATTTATATTACTGAGCTTTCAGGAAATCGGTCTTCAATTTGCAGCCATCATTCAGAAAGGAATGAATTGGAGTTACCTTTTCCTACAGGTATTATCTTACAGCCTTGAGCTATTCAGGAGCTGAATGGACCATTTTCTCAGTGAAGTCTGTTTTTTGTTCATTTTCAACTTTTTTCGGAGATAATTTCTCAAGTTCTTTGGTGATAACATACAGGAAATGTCAGTGGTTGTCAAAAACTTAATCCCAATGCCCAATCCCAATAAAACTGGGGCAAGAATCGCAGGCTGGGAAAAAGATGGAGTGAAAAGTCAGCTCCAAACAACTGAACAACATTAACGTGGATATTGTTGAGAATGTATGCATTTAGTACCATTTTTAGATTACATTGTCCACTTATATGAGCACTTCATTCTACATGTTGTATTTATTGGTTAACAACAAACCACCACACAAGTTGTTATTTAGAAATCAGTAGCACTGCCAAAAACAAAGAGCCAACGGGAAGAGAAACTGTATGTATGCTCCATTGTTGCTGAATTTGGAACATAAGCTCAAAGACCAAACATCAAGTGCTCCATTTGAAGGATCTAGTCTGAAGATTGTTGTCACAAATTAGTATGACTACCTAGTATTCAGGATTTTGAAAAATCACTGCTTTGCACAATAGAATAATAAACTGCCCAATAGTGCAGCCACTTGAAAATAAACACAGAAGGGCAGAAGCATGGTAACTTTACAATGAATCAGAGAAACTGCTTGGGAGTTGGAGTGCTACATACTGCAGAGGCTCAGAGTTTCCAAAAACTGTTCTGTGAGTGATGAGGTACAGATGCATAAGTCATGCATGCAGAGAAGAGTTCATTTATATTGCTAAGTCTGCACTGTATCCATGTGTAGCTGAATAAACTGAACTGAACACAGACTGCTGAGTTCCAAGGTTTCTTTCTATATTTCTGGATTGTTTTAACTATGAATTCCAAAGACACATGCATTGTTGAGCAATGTGGGGGGCTTTTTTGTTCTGAAGGAGGGTGGTTTTTGAAGGTAGGAAAATATACTACACAAAATGACTATTCTTATTTTTGCTTATCCTTGTAAGTAAAAGATGATGATGTTCAAATTATGGTGAGGTAATTATTTTACTCGCTGTTTAGTAATTGAAATGTCTATGTCATTGTATTTGCAAAATATTAGTTGGAAAATTGAAAATCTAATTGTGTGTTCTCTCATTTTGGCCTATTTTCAACACAACTACCAACAGCAAATTAAATTTACCTTCTTTGGGCCAAAATGCTAATTTAAGGACTTCAAGTAACTTCTCCTGAGGTAATCAGTCTGTAAGTTTCTAAAGGTTACTAGACCTTTTATCCAAATAATAGTGGAAGTAATACCATTCATCTTTGTAAATATCAACTTATGCTCTGCTTATTTTAGAAAACTAATAACACAAAACTTAGGTCAACTGTAACCAGACTGGCATACTTAAACTTTTGATCTCAGGAATAAGAATATTACAAAAATAAAATAAGGAACTCTGTCATTTCAGGTCAGTTTGGGGAGGAAATAGCTAAAATCATAGCTTGATAACTAACACCAATGATTAATTGCTTTTTCAACATGTGGATTATCTTGGTGCCAAAAATTATGGAACAATTGCCTAACAAATTGGAGAGTCCCTGATGTCAGTACTCATATTTTCTTTGGATTATGCTAAGCAATTATGCTAAACTTTCTAATGACTGAGTAAAATGGTGTTGCGCCTTGGGGCACATTTTGATGAACTACAGTTGTACTTTTCATAACCTAAGAGGCATATGCAAAAAGAAGTAAATTGTCTAGAATAAAGCTCTATGACCATTATGTTAGGTTTTAGAGGATTATAAATATCATATAACTGAATATGTTTACTGTTAATAGTCATTATTTTAAACTACTTAACTTCCTGAAAAATTAGTTGGTACAAGCTTATCTTCAAATAAAAGTTTAATTTAAATGATTCATTTTTGTTCCTAGAATTTGCTACTTCATACTCCATTCTCATATTCAACACAATTCATTATTTGTATTATTGATTATATTAAATGAGTCCTTTGAAACATGTATGTGTTTAGCTTTAATCTTTTACTTCAACTTGCATATGTTTCCAGTATACTTGAGGCTATTATCTGAAGATTCTGGGCTTAAATAAAGAACAAAAATTAGACTAAATAAAAAATTAATTTATGTTCTTATATATGAGGACACACCATGTTGAATAATTACAACCATCTGAAATGTTCTATAGCTTCATAAAAGTTAATTTGATATGCCACTGATGTGAAAATTATATATGAACACCACTTTTGGACTTCATGGGCTTGGCACACCTCCCCACAGGCTCTCACAAGCATGGTTCATTCTTCAACTCTCAGCTCCAATTCTGCTCCTCACAGGGGTTTTGCCTGTCTCCCTCATCTCAAGGAAACACCTTTCCCTCCTTCCTCCCCACTTCTATTTCCTTCACAGAATGTACCACAATCAGAAGTTATCTTGGCTATT